GGTGCTTGCGGGGAAATGTTAAATTTCTATGACGTTAACATTCAGTTTATGTTGCATTAGAGTTCAGTAAGTTGTAAAAATTTAAACTGCAAATTGTTTATGATTAATTACGCATAAACTCAACATTTAAGAACACATTCTTCTAAGTTTTGAAATAAACAAATCATATTTACTTCGTTTCAGTGTTTATTTTATGAAGCTCATTTTAAATGAAACTGTTATTATTACATTTTGTGTGTTACTGTGTAATGTTTGAAAATTGTTTTCGGACCTTTTTTAAGTTTCTCACGTTTAATTGCGGTTTACAGAAATTTAATTTAAGGAGTCCCGATCTACTTGTAATGCGCATACGTTTTAACGCAGCGTCGACTCAGGCACGTCATAGTACTCTTTACTGCCGTCACAATTGAACACAATAAAGTCATAATTAAAATGACGTCAGATTGCGCGACAATGCTTCACTGATCATGCATACCTAGCAGCTCTATAGATTGTACATGTTGAAAGCTGGTATTTCTATTATTTACATGTTTTTTTTTTTTAATATTTTTTTAATTGATAAACAACTTTGGATCATGATTTATTTTGAGGTATCAATTTCTTGGTACATATACATTAATTTTACCTTGTTTTATTTCAATTTGTGAGTTAAAAAAATCAAAAACTGCAACCAAAAGTAAACGTTTTAAGTCTTTATCCTTGAACGTGTTGAATTGTTTATACACACCTTTTTTTATTGAGGACTTAGATATGCATGGATTAGCTTAAGTTAAAATAAATCAGTCTATGAATCATTTAAATGCATGCCCGATAAATATTTTTTTTCTATATACAGGTATTACATGATATTACGTCATTTGTCGCCTTTACCCCTCCCCCTATTTTTCCCACGTATAACAACGTCCCATGTTAAGAAAAAAAATAAAGCATGGAGAGAAATTATTTCAGAAGGTAAGAATTATTAATTTTTTGAAAACTAATACAGTATTGCAATTGTTTGTTGATGTTATGTAAACCCATGGTGACTTATTTCATATCTAGTTGATTAAAATAAATCCTAATTTTGTGTTTTGATATGCCCCCTTTTCACTGCAATAAAGACTACCTCCAATTTTCTTTTCATTTTTTATAAGAAGAATGAAAATTGCATGATATATGTGAAAAACAAAACATTTCATAATCTTTTTCTTTTGAATTTTCAATTTTTTTTTTGGGAGAGTTGTACTATGTAATTGTGTATAAAAATACGAAAAATGGTCCATATCTTGACGTCAATTTTAAAAGACAGGTTTTTGTGCTTTTAGTATTTTTTTCTCCAGAAAATGATAATAAACCTGTAAACATTGACAAAAATAAAATCGTTTAGCTTGTTATGCTGCATCTCTCATTTGGATTTAAATCGAGGATCGATAATTCACTTGGGAATTGGTCATGTTATGTAAAGAGAATTGGATCAAATACATTTTAAGACGAAAATAGTTCCATTTTTTTCTCGTAAGAATATATATTTTTGAATATTCATTTTTAATCATAATGTACAAAACAAGATAAATTACCATATTTTGCATTTGAATTAAATGTAAATATAAATGAATATTTGCATATCCACTGCTCTCTCTCACTATGAACATGTAGCCATCTACTGCGTTCATAGGACTATAGACGCAATTGCTTCTGCTATGAGTGCAATTGCTCTATCTCACTCTTGTAGAACAAGCTCTACTACACTTATAGACCGTGTTGAGAAGTATATATATGAAATGTTTTGTAAAAGGACTAAAAATAAGTTTTTAATAATATTTTTTGGAAAAAAAGGAATTCAGAACAATTTAAAATTGCTGTTTGATATCTTTAAAAATTTAATTTTGGTCAATGTATTTAATTGTAATTTAAAACTTTTTAAAAATTGAATAGAACTCCATATTTTTATTTTTTCGTATCATGCATACTTGTACAAAGAACGATAACTCTTCACACTTGGGTAATAATACAGAAAGAGAAAATCTCTTTAACTAGTAGATCTATATCTATTTCAAGAAAAAATAAATAGAAAAAGTACCAAAAAAATCACAAAATAGCATACTGGAGTAATACTCATTATAAAATCATTCTCATTTTTATCATAGTGTTAAATAATTGATTTTTGTCAGAGGATTTCAATAACGTTGATCGATGACGTCACGACTGCATCAAAACAAAAATTAAGAGAATGTGATGACGGCGCTGCTTGTATCCAGATAACTGTGTTAGAGAGGGAAATACTTTTAAAATTGTGATTTATTAGAGAAAAGGAGTATTGATCAGGTGTACTGATTTTAAAGCCTTATGTGTTTTCTTTACTGAAGACAGAAGAGGCTACGTCCTTATGTAAGTCAGGATTTCCTCTGATATTCTTGACAACATCAAAGAATGCAAATATAAGTAATAAACAACGATTATTTAGTGAACATGGCGTGATGAATAGCAATAGCTCTGCTGGCATATTTTCCATGATGCGCTAGCGCGCATCATGGAATATGCCAGCAGAGCAATTGCTATTCATAACGCCATGTTCACTAAATAACGTTGTTTATTTCTTAAATATTTAGAGCCATATTTGTGAATTAGATACAAATACAACCAATTACATTCTTTATTGCATTATATATCAAATGGATCATACATGTACAAAATTTATTTAAAGGATCATATTCATAAAAATGATACTATGTCTGCTTAACAGGTCGACAGGTAGACAGGTCGACAGGTAAACAGGTCGACAGGTAGACAGGTTGGGGGGTCGACAGGTAGACAGTTTGAAGGGTCGAAAGGTTGACAGGTCGACAGGTGGAGGAGTTGACAGGTTGACAGGTAGACATGTTTATTTAAATATATAATTTTGTTGACCTGTCAACATGTCGTCAAAGTTTTGGATTGTCAAATGGAGAAGTATACATCTAACTGTAATCAGACATTGCGCATATGAAAAGAGAATATAAATTACACTTTTAGGCATTCAATATACATGTACATGTATTTTATGATATGAGTGAACCCCTCCCCCCTAAGATGATACTTCTTGTGATATAACATAACTAAATAGATATACATTGAATTATTAAAAAAGCTGTCTACCTGTCGACCTGCCAGCCTGTCGACCTGTCAAGTTGTAAAATAGATTAATATACATTGAATTATAAAAAAGCTGTGTACCTGTCGACCTGTCTACCGTCGACATGTCTACCTGTCGACCTGTCAAATTGTAAAAAAGTTTGTGTTGTCTTTTTAGATGTATTCTTGGTTTTTATTTTATAAAATTAAAGTGCTTGTAAAAATTCATTAATAAGTAATTTGCATTTATTTTTTTGTACATGTTTGTATTTATATAAGAATATAACTGATATAATTATACATGAATATTTATGATCTTTCAAAAATATAATTATAACAAAACCGATTTACTGCAGATTTTGTGGATGGGACTATTTTCGTCTTATTTTGTACTTAACGACGGTATGTATAAAGACACATAAAAGGGGGTTTATAAGCAAATATCGTGATATTATGTGAAAATCATTAGGAGTTGAAGTTTATTAAATAGGTATGGTTACCGTATTATTTCATCGATTTTATTCTATTTCGAAGACATTCAGTGATATACGTATCCCAGTCGGAATTTGTCATTTGCGACAAATATATTGCAAAAGAACAACAGTAAGCTGGATATTTCAAGACACATCAGTTGAACAGATCGAAAGCTTGACTTCTAGAATACTGGGAAAGTGCTGCTAGAATCCCGAGGCAAGAATGGTTTCACGGCAAATCTCGGGTTATATGTATAAAATTCAAAACATCGGGTAATTTTTCTTGCAAATAATAAATAATAATAAATAAATGATAAATAAAATAATTTTTTTACCTATCGGACAGTGGGATTCTAGCAGCACCTTTTAAGCATAATAGATGTTTTTCAACCATATCATTAACAAAAAGGAGTAATTAAACTCTGTGGTAAAGTTGTTCTGTTTGCCTTTTTTGTTCAGGAACATTTCTATATAAAAGAGATCACGTGATGCCGTGGTGGTTAGTACATGTCTTTGCGTTAGAGACTCTATTATCTTTATACAGTAGTAAATGATATTATATAAGAAGATTATTTTCGCAATTTTCATTGGCTGAAAGGACGTCACGTGATATTCCTCCTTTTGTGAAAACGACGCGAAAGCGCGTCGGTGGAAAATAATAACACACGACACAGCGTTCGGTTGCACTGAAGTTACGTAAAACGTGACGTCATAGTATGATAAGCGTGTTTTAAGCCATTGTGGCGTAATGTCAGCCAAGTCTAGTTAGGACTACGTCAGTGCATTCACTTTGAGTGATTATATAAAATAACTATTATGGACTTCAGTGAACGGTCAATATGTGTTTATAAGGACTCATGACAATTGATATTGACCTCAGACACAGAAAATGATAGCGACGTCGCAGTCGCTATCACTTTCTGTGTTTTCGGTCAATATCAATTGCCATGAGTCCTTATAACCACAAATCGACTACACTGAAGTCCATAATTGTATAATAGTTTACATTTCATCAGTGGATTTGGTAAATAATCAAACTTAGTTTTCTTTTAAAAACCCCAAATTTCCCGAAAACCTTCTCTGACTCTGTGTCTTCACATGTACATTAAATTTAAAAAAAAAAAAAAAAAAAAAAACACAGACAAAATATTATTTAAAGTATTTTCTATGCGAAAACTGTTAAAGTTTAGTCAGTTGATTTCCCGCATATTACGTACACCATTGAATCTAGAGTTTGCCAAGTTAAGGTCTTGCATTTCAATTTCTCATGAGTCTTTTTCTTATTTTAGTGGACAGGGGACGTTATTTGTCAACATTGAATGGTTGATCTAGTGGAACTTTTAATAATAAATATCAATTTACATTTTTGTTTCGCATATGATATAGATAGTGATTACTTAAATTAATAGATGTTGCAAATTGAAAATAAATCCTTACCTCTCTCATAATTATTGTCCCAACAACTTGCTCCTTTTCTGCTGTTTTGTTCTTTGCTACAACTCTCATCCCTGGTATAGCATCATCTAAATGGATAATTTCATATCGTTTTAAAATGCGCATACAAATGTCTTTGAGTCAGATGACATAATAATTTCTTTTTTATATAAAACCTTTCTCGCTCTTGTATCAAATTTAGGCATGCTCCAGAACCTTTAATTCTTTGAAAGGGATATTGTTGTTTAAATGCAAAAAACTTTGAGAAGACACATTGTAGGTAAGATCTACATCACATTCGCAATAATCTTTACACTGTCCCGTTCTTGATTCCCAAACACAATAATATTGGCTCGAACCTGTGACTTTGTATATTGCAAATAATAGGCATTTAAAAACTCCACATTTTACAAAATATAATTTAGTGAAACATGTAGATAACAATCAGTCTTCAAAATATAAAAGTCCATAAAACAATACAAATAGGAGCAGAGCAAACAAGGACCTCTAAAACATCAGAGGTGGGATCAGGTGTTATGGAGGAGTGAGCGTCCCCTGCCCATTGGTCAAACCTACCGTGTGCTCCTTATCATGAATGGTAAATATGATTAAAAAATTCGTCATCAATTCAGTGTGTAAATAATGGACAATAAGCATGAAAGCCGTCAGTCAGTATTTGACTCATAAGTGAATTGTTTTTGCTGATAAGTTCATTGTTGATGACCGTTCACGGTAGCTCAGTCGGTAGAACGCTCGCTCCGTGATCGGGAGGTCGTGAGTTCGTATCTCGGCCGCGACTGACCTAGTCGTTAAAATAGGTAGCAACTGTTCCTTCGCCATGCGCTCGGCACTTTGAAGTGAAAGTTGCGGGTCCTTCGGATGAGACCTTAAAAACCGAGGCCCCGTGTCAGCGGTAGGCGTTGGCACGATAAAGATCCCTCACTGCTCAATGGCCCTGAGTGCCGAGTAAAGGTCAAAATTTGAAGCCCTTCACCGGCATACGGTAACGTCTCCATATGAGTGAAAAATTCTCGAGAGTGACGTTAAACAATATACAATCAATCAATCAATCATTGTTGATGAAACAAATTAAAGGCATCAGCAGTCTCGCTTAAGGTCATAATTTCGCATGTTCTATGGACCATGCAGTGACTTTGATAGCAAGCACAATTTATCACTGAATCAAATACCAAATGACGTTTTTCATTCTAATTGCTATTACCTTATTTACACATTAAATTGACAACCAATTGACAAATATGGCGGGTGTGACCGGTCAGCAGGGGATGTCCACTCTTCCATGGCACTTGATCAAACCTCTGATGTTTTGGAGTTCCGTGTTTGCTCGGCTCCTATTTTGTATCTTTTTTTATTTTGAATTTGAATACTGTTTGTTATCCGCACATATTTCATTTTATCTTGAACTCATCAGGATAGTCGTTCAAATAAAACAATGTTTGAACTAATATGAAACATTATTTTAAAGGTATAAATTTGCCATTTAATGCACTCAGTTTCTCTATCAAGTGAAACCAGATGGTTTCACTTGATTAACGTAAGAGAGAGTGCAAATGTTTTCCTTTAAAGCTCACTAAACCTCTTAAAGACAAAGGACTCTTGTCATTGAAATCAGAGAGGTGGTCTTCAACAAATTCAATCACTTATAATACAGTTTACTCATTCGTTATCCTTACAGTTATTTAGTAAGTCGTATATAGACAATTTGAAATGAATTTTCCCCGGCCTTTTTTGTCCATTCTAAAAAGACAGAAAAATGTTGTAAATTAAGGAAAATTATATATATGCCATACCTAGTGAAATAGTCTGCAAATGATCCTCGTAATATTCCAATCCTTTTCCTGGAGTTAGGAACTTTAAATCCACATGCCCTTCTCGTCCCACCCTGTATCTCACTTCATCCTTGTTATCGATTTCACGCCTAACGAAGGCGTCACAGTTGAACATTCTTATTTTTTTGTCCGTTAACTTGTCAACTGTCCCTATATGAAGTAACGAATTATGAAATAGTTTAAGAATACGCCATTTTCGACATTGTAACTCTCCTATGATACAGGCACAAAAAGTATCCATTCAGAATGGAGGTGGGATAGTTTGTTTATGCATACAAACGTGCATAAATAAATAAAGGATGTTATTGGCTTTTAAAATTCATTTAATGTTATAGAAAGATAAAAATGTTAAGCAAAGATGCATTTAATGATTTTATAAAACTCAAATACGTATATATTTATAAATCTACTTTCAGGGTACTTGAAAAAGAAATTAACGTCGTGGTCTTTATAAGAAGTAAACATTTTCTTAATTGTACATTCTCTAAAAAGTTAGTGGGTTTCATGAAGTTATAATAAGAAAAAAAAATCAATGCGTCATTTAGATTGCCTCGACCTTCTGACCTTGATCAGATTAATTTTAACTGTATTTATTAGAGGTCCATATATCAATTCCCTCGTCTGATAAGTCTCACATCCACTGAATTTTCTTTATTGTTCCGACTTTTTTGCTTAAAAGGTGACGCCTTTACTTAAATTTGGTTATTCTCGAGTTGAACAGTGCATCCGGACAATTACATAGTTACGATAAACCAGTATATTGATAGCGCGATATATCCAATATAAAAATATCTGTCCCACGTGTTTGTTTACAGGGCAACTTAACTCCCCTCCTCAACGAAAGAGGGTACCAAGGGAAATAATCTCGAAATTTGCGTATTAGGGCAACATACAGTACATATATTTCTGCTTTACAAAAAAAACCCCAATTCAAATGTATGTTATATCAATTTCAGATATTTTTAATTATATTTCGTATTCTTTTAATGTTTATTCAAAACATATAACCATTCTGTTTAATCCACCAAAATCAAGGTTCATACATTTCAATAGCCTTAACTTAATCTTCAATCCCCTGCGGATCGAATAAAAATTAAAACTTGTAGGTTTGAATTCAAAACATAAATCAATTTTACTTTAGATTAAGTGAACATAACATTTTTAAAACTTTTTTTATATTTAATACATTAAATATTTTTCTAACAAACTTCTTTTTTATTCCATATGGTCACTACTAAGGGTTCATCAATACTTAGAATATCCTTTTGTTTTAGAAACGATCGCTTTACAGCTCAAACAGGAAAAGTAAATTCGTCTTTTGTTCCTCTTTTTAGTAAAAATTATGTCTGTAGTATACATTTACCTATTGCTTTTTCGTCATTGCGTAAGGAAACTTCGGCACCAGGAAATATTCCCTTCACGTATTTGAAGATTTTATCCTCGAAGTCATCATTACGAATGCCTACCTTGATACTAAAAATAAAATAAAAAAAGTCTATTTTAATTTTTTCTTCTTTTCAAACAGTATAGATTGTAAAGAGTGTTCTTGATTTTTCATACCTTTTTGATTTTTGGTAGAGCTTTCTCTCAAATTCGTGACAAAGACTATGTGTTCCTTGCATGTAGCACTTTGTGCATAAATGAATGTCATCACAAATGCAACAACTCCACTTCATACCACGTATTGGATTCTCTTTACATCCGTTACATTTGTAGCCGTTGTGTATTGCCCCTTACAATGTATATTAAGATAAAGTGTATAAACATGATAATCTTGTTAATCTTTACTTCTCACTCAAAAATTATGACTTTAGCAAATAAATTTTGACAAAACTACTATTGTCTTTATACTTTAACGCTATCATGTTGAATAACCGAATGATATTTTTAATTGCAAATTAGTAGCATTGAATTAAACTAGTTTTGATTGTAACGGGGACCGTTACAGATGTTCCCCAAACCCTCCCCAACTCCCTTTTTGTGCCTAATTCGTGTAATACATTATTAAAATTTGATCAGTAACGAAGGATTTCATCAAAGAGTTATAAAAGCTACAATGAATCAATAAAAAAGTCTTTAAAATATACATGTTACTGTGTTCAAATATATTGGTCATTTAGCGTATATTGCGCGCGCACGTGCATTCATGCATTTTTGTGCATTCAAATTTGATTGCATCATAATGTCGGAATCCATTTTACCTCTTCATTTTCTAAATTTCATCCTGTTTTGTTGAAAGCTAAGAAAGTTATAGGCATTTAAAGTTTCAGCCAATCAGATTGCAGCACACGTACATGCGCATGCTTTCATGATGTCTTATATAACATACTGTAGAACTTCATAATGTATGACTATGTCCAGAATTTGCAAGGATTCTGTCACAAAGCAAGAAAGATATTGAGACTTTAGTTTCAACCAATCAGAGAGAAGCACACGTGCATGCGCGTGAGATCTTGCTATTTTGACAACGTCATCACGTCTATACTAGTTATATATATACTGAAAGGATTAAAAAACGCATATTAAACTTTTGAGTTAAATTAAAGCAATTATTTCAAATATGTTTTTCAGCATTTTCATCATACATTTTAATTCAGCTTTAATCAACAAGTTACATAAATTTTGTATGCTTTTGAGTGATAGTTCCCGAGATATTGATATCAATATGGTGACACCCCCCAAAAATAAAACTAAAAATTCTCATAATCTCCCTTTCGCATCAGTAACAAACTTGATTTTCCTTTATATTGAGTTCACCAGAGCATTTATTTTTTCGTAGCATTATTATATAGTCAACCCTTCCGACGGTAGTCTTAATAGCTGAGATTAGCTGTATTATTCCAAAGTCAACAAATCTCCCCGCTCAATCGAATCCCGCGAATTTTCGATTTAGGATAGAATATACAGAACCCAGCAGGTTTGGTACTTGTGAATGTTTGTAAAAAGTATCGACAAATATTAGCTACATTTCCCCAGTGTAAACATGCTAAAAAAAACATTACGCAAACGACGCGTACGTGCGCGTTTGAGAGTAAAATCGACGTAAGCTGGCCAAGCCCGCGGCCCATATTAGAGTGGAGAGTTTCTGTCAGTTTAGGGTGAAAAAAGTGAGTATGTTTGTCTGCTGTATAAATATCACTTTTGGCTCTGAATGGGAGAGGATTGTACATTTTGGTCAGGTTGTTTTCTTCATATACTCAAAATTATATTTATTTCTGGTATTCCTAGAGTGTTAAAAATGCCTGTAGTTTATACTGTATATGACAATGTTCGTGTGTGTTATAGAGATGTGTATTTTAAATGTTTATGTTGCGAAATTAACCTGTTTGCTGTACATATGAACAATTCATGGAAAAGACTGAAATTAAATTTTACAATTCAGTGGTATGTTTTAAAATGTGTTTGTTGCAGGCATTACCTGTTTGTGCATTATCTAGGAGGAGAAGATCACCAGAAGTATTGTAGAATTCATCAGTTTTCTTATTGTCCCAAAGAACGCGAACAGTGTCTTCCTCAACCTTGATTATAGTACCAACAAAGCCAACCCTCTTCTTTTCTATTCTATTCTTTTCTTCGTATTCGGAACTTAAAACAACTCTTTGTCCTTCTTTTATTTTATCTTTAAAAAATCAAAGTTTAAATATCTAAGTATTGATATGGGTTGAATGAAATATATTGAGAAATCAAATAGTATTCAAGTTCAAAAGTCCACAAAAGAATATAAAAAAGGGGTATAGCAATCACGGACCTAAACAAAATCAGAGGCGGAATCAGTTGCAGTGAAGGAGTGAGCATTCCCTGCCTACCGGTTGCACCCGTAGTGAGCTCCTTGTCATGATCGGGAAATTATTATTATAAAAAATAATCATCTAAAAGATCAATTCGACAAGAATTTAAAACAAATCTCACCTCCTTCGTACGCTTCTTTGATATCATTACCGGCGAATTTGTCGCATTCATAAATTTTGTCTTTGATATTTTTATGATCTTGAATATCCTTTAAAATATAAAAAAAAAAGTCTATCGTTGTCAACCATTTCCAACAAAAATTGGAAAGAAATATTTTAAATATAATATTATCACATAAATATTATGAAAGAACGATATGTTCTTTTACATTTTGATAGTTGAAAGATAATTACCCCGTCCTTGTATTTCACAATTTCGTCATCATCCGAACTAATCCATCTTAATTTCTAGAAAATAAAGGTATTTTATTTTACTTTTTATTAGCTGTACTACACATGATAGCAATTGATTCAATTAAAGTAATACTTGTCGGATTATTAAAGAGATTATCCAGCTGTAATTAATTGCATTGAATCATGTAACGTTGTAAAACTAAGTGATCCTGTATAAAGCTTATATAATTTTGATTGTTGTAATTTACAGAAATCACTATATACTCACTACATACTCATATAGCTTGCTAGATACTTGTTTACATATAAAACTGATTTTCCCTTTTATTTCATATTACCGCCGTAATAAATAAATGACCTTTATCTTTCGATGTCAAAAAAGCTCAATGTCAAAGTCGCGGCAGTCATTTTTGTCCACTATGTTTTTTGAAAATTAAATTAAATTTTATTTCCAAGCGTTACAATTTTTTTTCCGCGCAGGAGTAATAAAGAGGCATACAGAAATTTGCTACTGAATAATCTCACCTAGTTACAGACGTGATAAGAATTAAGGAGAGACAACATTGATACATAGGCCAAGTACTTATGTTGTTTCATGTGGTAGGATCAAGTTACCGTTTAAAGTTGAAGGTAAACCTATTAAGTCTTTAATGTTCCATGAATCGCGAGGACTGGAAATATGAGGATTGCACAGATACAGATGATTCACCTGGTTGTCAGGGAGGAGGGTGTCCCCATACCAAATTAGGTTATATAAAAAATTGTATTCGTTTTTTTACCAATCAGAGGCTAAAGTACAAAAATCAAATTATAGTTGAATATTGAATTTGAATCATTGTGATGCATATACCCATCGGTGAACTTTTTGCATTTGATATCTGGCAAAGTATAATAAAAATGATAGCAAGACACAAAGATTTGAACATATTCAATCTCAGCAGCGGAAAAACTTTCTAACCTAGTTGAATGTTCCTTTGTAATCGAGATAAACTATAAAGGTAACATAGTACACGAACGAGCATCAAAACTACTTGAAAAATGAGTATTTGCTGCATATAGTCACTCATATTTTATGGGTTTATCAATATATTGATTATTACTATGAGAAAAAAATGCGTACATTCTCCACATTTGTAACTTCATCCTCAGAATCATAATTGTAGTCGCTACTATCGCTACTATTTTCTTTTTCCTCCTCTTCAACCGCATCTTCATCGTCAGAATTCTCCTTAAAATATTTTATAACACAGGTTAAATAAATAACACTTTTTCATAAGGGGGGGGGACTCTGCATATCAATGAAAAATGTATTTAGATTATTTGTTGAGTTTTAAATTGTTAAATGCCCCTCTCGAGAATTTTTCAATTTTATGGAGACACCACCACTTGCCGGTGGAGAGCTAAAATTTTGTCCTTTACTATAATCTAAATTCTTGGTACAGTAAGAGTTACCTAGATAAAAAACAATAAAACCTTTACCTTGAGTGCTTTCGCTATATTGGCCCTTCTGACAATTAAGAAAAATTATAAACGGTGTCAATAACATTGCTTATAACCTCTAAAATATTTTTAAAAATCGTGACTTAGTTAAATACAATGTATGATTTAAGCATAGGAAGTTGGATTAAACAGTCTTATAAATAATTCCGGTTTGGTCACGGGCGATTTTATCTGATGTCCACATTTTGCAGAATTAAAAAAGAAAATCTTGCATTAGCCTTCACCATACTAGACAAAATATTCAGAAAATCTGAACTTGTTCTATAATCTATAACTTTTATGTGAAGCCTCACTTGTGACTTGAATTGATTTGACTGCTCTTTAATATTATATATCGTACTACATTTTAAATCTTTTCTGTTTTTTAAGTGTTATCTGTTCGTTCCATATCTGGAACCACCACATTTTCTGATGATCTCATGGTTGATTGAGGAAAAATTGCTTTGGTTTGTACATGTATCATACCCCGATTTTTGTCTGTCTTTTGTTATTTAATGGACGATTTATCCAGTATATCTTTTATGTTTTCAGATTGTTTTAATACTGGGAAAAAATGCTCCGCTTATTTAAGAAGATTGTGATTATATGAAGCATGTGTAATTACAAACAGAACGTTCTCTTCATCGTTTTCCTCTGGTTGGGAAATTTTTCTTGATTGGGTTATCGGTTTTTCTATTGCCTGTGTGATTTCGTCATAAATAGGGTTCTTTGGGCAGTTATATGCTCATAATTTAAATAAATTTCTATGCTTTTATTCATACATTGCCTTTCACTATGTTTAAAAAAATATAGTAACAGATCCAATTCATTTAAATGATGTTATAATGTCTCATATTTTACAGACGTAATTATTTTCCCCAAACGAAGTTGGGGAACATATTGTTTTTACTCTGTTTCTTCTTATTCTTCTTCTTCTTCTTCTTCTTCTTCTTCTTCTTCTTCTTCCTGGGTACTTTTTTGTCCGGGAGTGATCTTGTAAACTACACATCCGACTTAGGTGAAACCTTTTTAGGGTCAATAGGCATGTTATGTAAATTTGCGGAATCAAGGTCATTTTGTGCGCACGTGCTTGCAAGAGCGTGCACGTGCAACACGTGAAATGGCCGATTTAATTGATAAAGACGTAACTTTTTACATTTTTGATGAAATGCTTTGAAACTCATAATATAAGAATATGTTAGTAGCGTAGACAATATGACGTGGTCAAAATAATAAGATCTCACGCGCATGCACGTGCGCTTCGCTCTGATTGGCTGAAACTAAAGTATCAATATCTGTCTTGTTTTTTGACGAAATCCTTTGAAATTTTGAACATAGCCATGTATTACGATGTCCTACAACATGATATATAGCAATTATCATGAAAAAACGTGAATGCACGTGCGCAGGATGGGGCTTGGAACATAGATAGATATAATGAACTTCTACAAGGAGGTATGGTCACCATGCACATTCATACATGTGCGTGTACGTGCTCTGCAATCTGATTGGCTGAAACTTTAAACAGCTATAAGTCCCTTGATTTCAACCAAACGGGGTGGGATTTAAAACATAGATAGATGTAATGGTCTTCTATAAGAAGGTATGGACACCATGCTCATGTATGCACGTGCGTGCATGTGAAATGGGTAAAATCAAAAATACACTTGAATGAGCGTTTTTTTAATACTTTTGGATTAAATACTTTAATATTTAGCATATTAAACTATATAGATTGTGTAGACAATATGATATGGACATTACGCACATGCATTCACATGTGCAAGTGTGCAATGATAAAATTTGAATGAACATAGTACACTTTCGGGTAAACATTGTTAAAGTCTCAAATGCATAGAGTTTGTCTTATTTAATTACGCTTACAGGGAATATGACTATAAAAGGGAGTTGAGGAGCGTTGGGGGAACATTTGTAACGGTCCCCGTTACAATTAGCACTAGTTATCAATGTTATTGACAACGTTTTCATACCTGTCTAAAGAGTAAGCATGGCAGAAAGCACTTATAGTAAAGGTTTTATTAAATTTAGATTGAAACATTTGTTCTTTACCATTTTTCTCGATGAACGTTTTTCTTCTCCTTCCTCCAGTTTCTTTCGGAATTCTCCTCTTTCAATTGCTGCTTTTATCATGGACTTTTTCATGAATAAAAAAAACAGTGCACTTATAAAATTTTATTCACTTCTCAAGGGAATTGAAAACTATTTCAAAATTATATGAAGCCAAAGTTAAAAAAAATGAATAATCATATAGTATATTTTAAAAAAAAAGGGGGGGGTTGATAGTGTTTAAGTGAATATTCAACACTTAAATTAGGAAGCCTACTTGTATATACAGGAAATATTATATCAACGAAAAACTTTTTATGTATTTTCTAAAAGATTAGTGCCATATCATTGTTATAAATCTCTCTTTTAAAGGTGCCTCCTAAATCCAAGGACTATCAAATAAAATATAATTACATGTTTTCCAATCTAATACACTCTAGTACCCTATTAGTCACTTTCTCACTTTCGAGAATGTAAATCGGAGCTAAAGCCAGAGAATTTTTTTTTTGCATTTACAAAATTACTTGAGTCTAAAAATCATGTGATAAATTAGGATATTAAACAGGTCATAATGAGTTTAATTATATGAAGATACACGTAAATAGTGTGAAAAACAGTCAGCGTGTTGTAACGTCTTTAAAAACGTTTACCCCAAGCGCAGGATTGCCCAAAATAGAATTCGCAAAAATGTTGCATATCAAGTGTACAATATGAATATGGATTGAACAGCAGACCAAGGGCCTATATTAGTTCTCTCCATCATTCATGAGATAAAAGAAAATATTCTAAATGTTAACATTAGCACATACCCATGCAACGTTTGGTACTAAAGCTCCGTCTTCTTCAGCATCCTCTTCCTCTTTACATGTCTGAAAAGATGTTGATATGCTACTATCTTTTCATCGTACAGAAATATTGATTTTAAAGTTGTTTTGATTTATATAATTATACCTTTTTTTTCTTCTTTGATTTTCCTTTTCTTCGTTGTCGTTGTTTGTCAGCCCTATGATTCTGTAATATATAGGACTTAGTACTCTATTATGTAGATTTTGCTGTAGAATATAATGTACAGGGTGGACTTAAGCTTGATGTTTTATAGCTGAAAGTGGTTTGTCACCATGTGATATGTCCTTCACCGTCAGGAAAATAAATAATCTCTGATTCCTCCGATTTACATGATCGTCCTCTTAGAACTTATTAAACGACGGCAGGGTCATTGATCTCTAATAAATACAGATGCATTTGATAAATGTAAGTCGGCATTTCGAATAACTCTTTCCCTTATAATGACTTCAAAGAACCCACTACCTTTTTAGAAAAGACTAATTTGCAGCACTGTTGAGGCCTACTATGGAGAAATCAACGGGAATTATACGTGAAGGATGAATTGAAGATATTGAAGATATTCTGTGTGAATCCACCAGAGAAGTATGTCATCAAACTAAACTTTGCTGGGGGATTGTATGTTGTTTATCCATTCTTGTATAAAAATGCGATTAACAGTTGAAAATACCCCTTCTCATATTGGTATTTTGAATTTCTCGTAAAATTCTTTCCTAGAAAGTAAGAACCAGACTTGCCCCCTAGCACTTAATATATACCAGATATCACATTGAATTTATCAATGTAACAAATTTTTCACAATAATTTTGTTTTGCACTTGTGCCGATGCAATTTTTGTTTTACATTTCGGAATATCATGAATGCCCTTTATGTGATCAACAAAATTATGTGACACAAAAATGCTTTAAATAATACCTGATTAATCCCTTTCACAATATGACTACCAATTCAAGGATTACATATTACAATCAAATTCTGGCTAAAATAAAATGTACACTTTAATGCATTTTAAGCCTTCGGGCAGCTTTCTCATATCTGCGCAGAAAAACCTTATCGTTTTAATTAAACCCGTTTAAATTCCCTTTTCTTTTTTGATTGACATGAAAATAGATACAAGTAATAATTTACGTTGTATGTGAGATTAAATGTTTCTAACAATTTATATAAATAATATATATTAGTGTTAACAAGAGGCAAGCAAATGCATGCACATAACTTCAAAAGAACTAACATTGAAAACACATATTGTTGATTGAAAAGTGATTTTAAGTTGTACAGAATTTTTTTTCGGATTTAGATTTTAGTTTGATTTATTTGATAACAGAAATATATTCTCAACTTTAACGTCATCACATACCCCAGCACCAGAGGTCATTAAATTCTCATCTTCTGAAGTATCCTCGTCTTCTTCATTTTCATCAGAGTTATCATCATTTTTCTGTAAAATAACGAGATAGATGTTACTGTTTTCTCATCGTATTGAATTAAAAGTTGTTTTGACTTATTTAAATATATTCTACTGAAATCCTTACCTTTTTTCTCTTTTTTGTTTTTCTTTTTCTTTCTCGTCTTTGTTTGCCAGCCTTCTTATTCTGTAATATAAAATGACTTAATACAATGGGAGCGAATTTCAGATAATTGTTGACCGACATGACTGTTTTGTCCTATATATTTCATTGCAAGCCTTATAAAATGAAATATCTAAAACAAGTAATTTGAATTTGCTTTAATTAGCCAAGATCTAAAGTACAATATCAAGATAAATGAACAAAAGAGATTGGCGGAGGGTCTATCCCAACCTTTTTTATTTATGTTTTTGACAGTTGGCTCGTCCTGATGAAAATTATTTCGCTCATATTACACGTTAAGTAATTCAGTTAGCTGAGTGGCACTGGGCGGGGTGCCCATGAAGCTTACAGCCTTTGGTGTTTTTTTTTTTTTGTATTTTTCTTCCATCATGAACGTATATTTTTATATACACTAGAAACCTTTATTAAACAGTTTCTTAACAAAACAATTCTTTAATCTAAGTTGTAATTTAAAGGGGCAATATATTTTTATATATATATGTGTCTTTTATTTCATGAATGAATTCAAAGATCGTTACTTTACTTTAGGAAACTTTGGGGTGATGTGTTAAGTTGAATGTTTGAATGGGACATTTCTCAATAAAAGGTTCAAGAGTCGCACTATTATTTCATTGCAAAATTTGGATTTCCTATTGTGCCTCGCCATACCCCAGAAGGCCATGATTTGAACAATTCAAAATCTACGCAATCTCAGGTTGCACCTAAGTTTCAGCTTTTCTGGCCTTGTGATTCTTTAAAAGAAGATTTATAAAGATTCTTCATATTTTGATTTATATTCTTCCTTTACTTTGTTCGTCCGAATATAAATTATTTATATTCTAAGTAATAACAAGAAAATACCAAATTAGGAGTGCTACTCGCTATAACCTTTAATCAATTCACATACAATATTATGATATCTATTTACACATGTACTTCAGATAACTAAACATGCATAAATAAATATTTAAAGTCATAAAATAAATCCTTTTGTGTGAAATTTCATGATTTAAAACACATGAAGTGTAATATACTTTTCAAAATTATATCGACAGCAATAAAGAATGCGTATGAATTCCTTTTCAATGTATTTATAGTTACCTAGTCACATGTTCTATGATTGTATTTAGCAAGTTAACAACGAAATGAAGTTTATGTAAAATTTGTATTCCATAGTGTGGCCCTGCCCTACCCACGAAGGCAATGGTTTGAACAATTTTAAATTTGCGATATTTCTTGATGCTCTTTCACATAAGTTTAAGCCATCACTGAAAGCAGTTCTCAAGAAGATCTTTTTAAAAAATAGCTATTTTTCTTTCCTTGCATTTTTATAATTTGATAACTTTGTAACACGTTTGATTTTAATGGTGTAATTTACTTTTTCCTTTTATTGATAAACAAATTATTCAATTTCCAATCGTATTTTAACTGGCGCAAGTTATAGCGTGTATACTTTTAAACAGACAAAACATGCTTTTACTGAAATTTTATTCTTCAGCGTGAATATAAGTGTTTTATATCGAGAGTATTTACAATAGGTTTGCCCTTTTAATGTATTTATAGTTCCTAGTCACGTTTACCATTGTATTTAGCAAGTAAACAACTTTGTTTATGTAAAATTTGTATTCCATCATAAGATGTTGAAAATTTTTTAAAGTTTAAAGACGTAAGGACAGACAGACTGACACACAGAGAGATGGACAAACAGCATGACGAACAACTGATAATGGGTGATCAAAAAACTCATTCCAGCCTTCAGCTCAGGTGGTCGCGCGCGTGGCGCAGTGGTAAGAAACGTCTGCTCCAGAATCGCAAACTAAGGTGTTGATCCTTACGTCGCAGGTTCGAATCCCATTGTGGGACGTGGTGACCGGTCCTTTGTACGAGACCTATAAACCGAGGTCCCAAGTCGCAGTAGGTGGTGCTGGCACGAAAAGAATTTCACTTTGCTCAATAGCCCTAAGTGCCCAGTAAAAGACAAAATTTGCAGCTCTCCACTGGCAAGTGGTGGCGTCTCCATATGAGTGAAAAATTCTTGTGATGGCCGTTAAGCAATATACAATCAATTAATCAGCTCCGGAGAGCTGAATTGTATAATACTTTTACTATCAATAAGCACCTTTTCATATATAAGATAAGACAGTGAATAGTAAGGAAATAAGAAATTACACAATCTGATAAAAAAGAATGTGTCCACTTTGAGCTGATGAAGCCAAACATTTCACTTTCAATAATACATACACCGTCTGCATTTAATAGCAGAGTAAAATTTTTCTGAAATTTGACAATTTGAGAAAGTGAAACCATATTTTCTCAACTACAACTTATCAGTTACAATACATACCTCGTCATTAGAGGATAATTTATCACGAACGGACACATCATCCACCCTTTCATTATTTTCTTCAGATTCCTCATCATCTCCCTGAAAATAACACAATTACTCATACCCTCTAATCCTGCAGATATATAATATCTTCTAACTGGTATAACTTTCTGTCGTTATAAGAAATCTGCTACTTGTAATTTTAGACAGTGCATCTAATATTCTTACCGTTTTTCTTGATGCCCTTTTTCCATCTCTTCTCTTTTTTTCTTTGCTCATTCTGTTAGCTTTGGATTTGGTCGATTTCTTTCATGAATTAACAAAAGAGTGCACTCATCAATTAAGTCTCACATCTCAGGCAAAATTGTTTTTAAAAAAAATCTCCTAGTTTTTAAAAGAAAACAGGTACTTCTGATTTAAAAAATAATCTTAATAATATTTTAGTGACTTTTAAAAAAAAAAGTGCTCTTCGTTACAGGAATATGATGATTAAATATTAAGTTTCAATATACAGATGTGTCTCAAAAGTAACGTCTCTCAAAAAACGAAAAACTCCTATTTGTTTCATGAGAATGGGCGTTTCGCAGCTAGAATAAGGCTGCCCGTAAAATGTCAAATTTTTCAAATTGTAGTAACTTCTCTGAACTACCCAGATATGACGTCATAATAGAATATGACGTCAAGTCACTGCAGCTGACAGGACGGGGAAAGTTTCATAATTTTTACATAGCATGTTGATTTATTTTGGGGACTTGTTTAATTCAAATGTTAGGACTGTTTTTTAAGCTCGAGTGTGCTGTTATGATATTGAACATTTGAAATTTAAATATCCATATTCTTTTCGATTGTCCAAAATGCATATATTCAAACAATATTGAAAATTATGTGTGAAATGCTCCCCTTATACGTCCGTAGGCAGAGTTAGAATTTATGAATCGTGTTTGAAATATATGGAAATAACGAACAGTATTCAAGCTCAAAAATTCATTAAACAATACAAAATTGAAACAAGGACAAATTATCGGAGGTGGAATCGGGTGCCATGTAATGTGTTAATTTTTTTATGTCGGTTTTTCATCATTATTCACCACATACCGACTGTGATTTACTTACGTATTTAGAAATTATAACACGTGTTGTATATTAGACACATGCCGTCTTTCTTTCGAAGGAAATACCATGTAGTCAGCTCACTTTAACAATGTTTTACAAATGATAAGTTCAAAATAACACTGTCCGTGTCATCAATTACTTATAATTGATAGTGCATTTTTTTTCTTGTAGAATTGTGATTTAATAATGTTTTAGAACTTGATTGTGTAGTGTAACACTGCGCAGCATTTTTTAAGGGGGCGGGGCCTAGTATTAACGTGACAAAAATATGACATTTATGTAGTTCTCATTATACGTGTAAATGAAATAATCTGCAACGCTGAACAGTATTAGCATAATAAACAACATTATAACTTATCAATGCATTAAAAAAGTTGCTAGTTAAATCCCATGTAGCTTGTTGTAGACAAAGCACTCGTATGAACTTGTATTCATACTGGTAAAAATGACATTGTGTGTGAGAGGCAAATTGAGAAATTTTTTTATCAATGTGTTTTATTATTAATCGTATTATTTACAGATTTTAAATAGTCGATTAATACCAAGGTATAGCCTTTGTTTAGTGCGATTGTTAATTTACTCAAAAAGAAATTTTATTAATTATGTCGTGTTTCATGTACAGGTTACATATTTTACATCGAGATGCTGTACTTTCGCAAAAAATTCTGAAATTTTTTAAATATAGAAAGGATATATTCTAGAAAAGTGCTGCTGCTTTCTTTAAATCGAGGCCGTGATTTTATAAGTGCACAAAATATTTGAAAATTAGCATGTTTCGACATTGGCCTATTTACTTAAACATTTAAGTATTAAAACGCGAACTATTCAAAGCAGCAGCACTTTTCAGAAACTACAAAGTACACAGAAACAATTAATAGCTTGAATTTTTAATTTCAATTAGGGTATGCCCTTGTAATTTTAATATTTGATAGTTATACTTAGGTATGTTATACCATGCTATTTCCAAGTATTTAAGTACAAATAGAATTGCTGAATAAAAATAAATTCAATTTTAAAAATTTCCCGTTTTTTGCACTTTTATTTTCCGTTGATTTCTCATACCTTAACAGTGCTGCGTGTTGTTTACATTAACCTGTATAAAGACAATCCACTTTATTTTATTAGACCAGAAATATTAAATACACTTACACTTTATAAAAAGTTGCCCGCGGTTTGGCGCATGTCAGTTTGATATAAAATTGATGCGTTTACTTTTACAGTCAACATAAATATCTATCTGTAATTTATTATTTGATAGTTATTCCTTATGGTATGCAATGTAAAGTTCGAATGCCACTGTGGGACATTTATTTTAGGAGAAATATTAAATACATTTAACCTTGGCGCAGTAGTTAGAGCGTCACGAAATAAAAATCCTTACGTCCCGTGTCCACTGTGGGACATGGAGATGGTGCTGGCAGACCGTAAAAACTAGGTCCCTGTCGTGCACAAAAATATCCCTGAGTGCCGAGTATAGGTCAAAATTTGCAGCTTTCCACCGGTAAGTGGTGGCATCTCCATATGATTGAAAAATTCTCGAGAGGGACGTTAAACAATATACAATCAATCAATCATTTAACTATAATATAAACTACAAGAAGGGCATTGTCCACTGGATTTATAGATGAGCATGACTCTTTTAAAGCATGCATTTTATTGAAAACCTTATAAATGAATTGTTTGAAATGAGAAATTGAAGTCGTTTATGTTTTTAAAAAAAATCTGAAGTAAACTATGAAGAGAAGATAAACACAAGGGGCTGGCAGAGAACCCCCTAATTAATTTATGTTTTTGCAAGATCCGTAGCCCTGATGAAACTACATGCACAAAAATTACACTTAAAATTAGACACATTTGTAACTTATAATTTAAATTTGAAATGGTGAATTAGTAATTTTACTTTATTTCAAATCTGATATTAAAAATTAATAATTTAGAATTAGAATATAAGAAATTACAAAATAGTTTTTGCTAGAACATTTGCAGTAAAATCGCATGCATGTTTAAATGGGCCATTTTTTTACGTTTAACGAAAAAATATGAATTCCATGGTTGGAGAAGTGTTTTGTCGGATGTAGATGAAATTTTAATGCTTCGTGGCGGGCATTAGATATGCCTTGGGAACAATAAAAATTAAAATTTAATTTAATTTTCAAATTGAATGCCATTAAATTGCTTTATTTTATACATAATTCAATGTTTTATAGCTGTAAAGTACGGGAAATTGATTATGACGTCATAATTGATTTTTTAGCCAGGCATCAGTTCGATTGTTTCATGATCCGGCGAAATCATAAAATGAATCGAGAAACAGTTCAAAATGCCTAATTACAATTTACATAGTTGGTTAGGTAATAATATACACTTATTTAATGACTACGAGGTAAACAGTCAAACTGTTGTCCCGAAGAAGTGAGGAACAGTTTCCCAGGACTTCCCCACTACCGAGGCATAACAGTTCAACTGTTTCACATAGTAGTCATTAAGTGTTTAATTACCTAAACTTCTATATAATTTAAAGCATGAACCAAACAATTAATAAAGAATTTTAACAACTGTTTATTTGCATACTAGTCTATTAATTAGCTGAATTCAGAATATAAAGATTAAATTAATATACAATACGTTTAACTAATAATAAATGAATTGATTTATTGATTGCTTGTGTGTTTTATTCCAATTTGATTAATTATATAGCAGGTTAATAGTGATGTCATGATCATCAAAAGGCTTGAATATCACTACGACCTTTTAAACATGCACCAGTTCATTCTGTAGCCAAGTCAATAATTCGACTGTTTCATGATCACGCAAAACATTAAATGAATCGTGAAACAGTTCAAAATGCCTAACTTTAATTTATATAGTAGGTTTGGTAAAAATCAAAACTGTTAACCCGGTCACAGAATGAACTGTTGCATGGCTGAACTAAACCATTGTGATGTAATAGTTATTTTCTCATACTTTACAGCTATATGATACTGAATTATGTATTATTTGTAGTATTTTCATGGCTTTCAATTTCAAATTATTATTTGAAGAGAAAACTCAATACCCACATAACTATATATTTTAAATTTAATATCATTTGAAAGAAAACGCCAAGAACACCTTTTCTGAGGGTAATTTTGGGGAAATTATGCCCCGTTCATTCCTTAAGTCTTTACTTTTTAAAGCATCCGACTTAGCGTATTATATTCAAACCTTTAAGCAAGTTATGTATTTTTTAGTTAACAATACATATAAACATCAATATCCATTAGGGCATGCAATAACCCAAGAAATAATGCAAAATTATCGATGTGTCTATATCACTACTTAGAGAAACTATATAGTAGGTTAGGGAAATAGTCCAACAATTGTCCCTCGATAATGGGGAAGATCTGCAAAACTTCGGCCTGGGGCAAAAGTTTCCCTGGTCTTTTCCATTTTCGGGACAACAGTTTGACTGTCCCTCTAGTAGTAATGAAATAAGTGTATAACACAGTAGGACAGTTGTCCCACAACAAAAGCGAAAATTTTTATAATGTCACATAAACTACTATTTTTAACATTGTTTTGAATTGGTAATTTAGTGATTTTGACTAAATATTGCAGATTTTAATTTCATGTGCAGATAAAAATTCATTAATATAACATTATAAATGGCAATTATGTGATGTTTTATGTACAACTTTTTTCCGTAAGAAATTGTCAGAAATTGCAGACACTAGGACAGCGAACAAAATTATCATTTAGCACTGTATTCAGTGGTGAATGACTCATACAGGAAAAGAGGTGAAACAAGAAATGATACAAAAATGGTCTTCGCACTGATTTTAATTTATTAAAAAAGGTTCAAATAAGACTCTAGTAGTTTCAAAACTGTAAAGATGGTTGGTAGATCCATAAAAA